CACATGTCACAGATGTATTTGTGCTGTAATATGACTGCAGTCATGTTCACTTCTGCCAAAATGCCCTTCTTAGCAAGGTATTAATTAGCATGCATACTGTGTTTCTAAATGATGCATTCTGAATCAGAATTGGTCTGAAAGGAGATGACTTGATGGAGATGTGTAGTTCTCTATCTGAAGCTGAGATGAGTTGCAGATGCTGTGAAACCTCAGCCTGATCTCAGAAGTTTGTAAGTCTTCTCCTGAACCCATAAAGTTACTAACACCTCATTCCAAAACGTTTGATTGTCCCAATGTCAAAATTAGACAGACAAGACCCAATGAGATTTGACGTCAGTGAATTCAGACCCGTGTGATTGAATGATTAATTAGTTATAGCACGGCATCTGATGATTGCTAATATAATGCACAGATCAAGTGGATTTTGTGTAGGATCAGTGTGCGGTGCATTTATAGTTTTTTCCAACACATTACATAAATGTGGTAGCTTTGAACATATCTAATGTCATTTATTAAATGCGATAAAAACCGACCTATTATGTCCTAATACTTTTTCATATGGAAATGTAAGTACGCTAGAATCACACTTTACATACGAATACCATTATGTTAGAAAACCACCGTTTTCATGGCAATGCAGTAATGCAGCAGACGCTGGATCATCTCTCATTCAGGGTCTGGATCTGCTGCTAAAGCTGGAGTTTTGAATGGAAGAAGAAAATCCATAACAAATACTCCATTAGCAAAACATTGACTGGATGCTAGTAAGTAAACTGCAGAGAGCTAACAGAGCAATCCTGACAGTTTTACACACCACCGTTTCAGTCAGAAGAGTCTCACATAATCCTGATACAGCACATGTTTCTTTCTGTATACAATGTTTTATAATGTACAGATTCAGTCAGCAGCAGCCACTTCATGTTGTGCTGTTCAACACTGGGTTGTTTTCTTGTTGTGGTGGAGCAAAAGCAGACAGAACAGTGTTGGCTGATGTGTCTTCCAGATTAAAGGAGTAAACCAACATTGGGAATTTCACTCAAGGAAATATTAGATGACAATTAGCCCATAAAGGTCAATCAGTCTGTTCCAACAATGAAAGGCATGAGATGGAGGTCCAGCAATAACCATACATTTCGTTTCACATAAGAAAACATGACAACCTCTGCTGAGTCTGACTGCTGGATATCTGTGTTTCTGTCTCGTGTCATGTGATCACGTCTCCTAGGAAACGCTTGTTTGTGCAGTTCCCTGGAGATTACCCAGCCGCTCCTCATCAGTGTTGAGTACACACACACTCTCCTCTGTGTCTCCTGCTCTCTTTCAGTTCTACAGCAGCGCATCAGTCTCTGAACTGTTAGATCATGCATCCACGCCAGAAGTATCAGATCCAGCCCCAGACGCCAGATCCTCTCAGAAAATATCCGTTTTGTCTAACAAAACAACTACTCAGCAAAATCGCCTAATACCCAAAGTCTTGACTGGTACCCAAAATGGTATTTACAGTCTTCTATCAGCCAAGAGTTGACTGAGTAAAGCCAGAGAAGAGTAGAAGCAGGAGACGGCGTGAGGATGATAAAAGGAGCAGAGTTTATTGAATAGTCTTAGTTGCGTATGTTTCAATGCTCAGACTTCATCTGATGAACACAAATCTAACCAGTAGTGCTTCACAACAACATCCCATAAACCCTGAGTTTCATGAAGACCAACAGCCCTCGAAACCACACAATCATAAGACTAAATTATATTAAAACAATAATATACAAAACTAATCAATGAATAAATCAATGAAATGAGTATATAAATGACTATAATGATTAAATGGTATAATAAAACGACTGAATGATTATAAATGAATAAACACATATAAAATAAAAGTAAAACACAGCACAGAAGTGTGGTTGCTCTCTTGAAGCAAAACACACACAGAGGCAGTGTTTGAGGATCCTCCGGTCCTTCTGAACATCAGCTGTTACTGTCACAGCGAGGACTCTTCACAACATTTATTCTCTGGACAGTTCTCTCTCTCTCTGTGTTTCAGGAAACACTCGTCATCATTTCTTTCCTCGGTATTTGTGTCATTCCTCTATCGCTCTCTGACAGAACAATCTGGCCAATCATGGAGCCAGCAGGGAAAACACTTCAACTCTTCAATGCTGTCTCACAAAACCAACTCGATTCGACCAGTCGAGACAGCCAGACTGACTGATTAATTCATTTCATGTTTATTTGCATAATACTTTCCACAGTACATACCGTGTCACAGAAAGAGCTTGTTTTAAATGTTACAGTCATGAAGCCAGGAGTTCCTGTGTCTCCAAACTCATCAAGGAAACTTCAATTCAATAATATACAGCTTTAAGATCATACAAATCAGGTTGTCAGTCATGTGTTCAGTTGAACAAACCCCTTGAATGTGTTATTACAGCCTGTGATTGCAATGTAATGCATTCTGGTCTGTTACGTCTGTGAGACAAATGCCTTTTTTTGAGGTCTCTCAGTTTGATTTTCTCACAAATGTGTCTATTACCAGTAGAGACCAACAGGCACCATTACAGTTACCATTAAAACCAGTACAATTCCCATTAACCAGTAAAACCATTAAAAATTCTGTGATGGTTTCTATTGTTTTTTTCAGCCAGGCTAAAATGGCTGTTGCCAGCAGTCTGCCTCGAAACATAAACATTTTAGAAATGCATAATTTAGCATTTATTTGCACACATATGTTTTCCCATGCTTTGGTTTTTGGAGGTTATCCCAACTCCAAATTTTCCTTTGATTATATCCTTGTTTTCATTAACAAGTTGGGCAAGAAGTAGCAGCTGTTCTTGCGTCCAGTTTGGTTTTCTTTTATGTTTGCATGTCTTACTATCAGCCATCATTATTCTACTCTGTTAATTAAAAGGTCATATGCATATTGACTAATTGTTTAAGAGAAGCACACATGTAAGAGGCTGACAATTAGCTGAACATATACTTGTTCAATTACTGACACTTAGCCTGCATTTTTAAACCTTTATTTGAATATGGCAACACAATATTCCACTCTACAATATTTCTATGAATAAATCTCTGACAGAGACTATCAGCCAATCACTGTGTGCATAGTTAATAAGCATGATGACATCATCCATAGCAACGAGGTCAGCCCCGCCCCCTTACTCTGAGCTTAAGACTTCTTTCTATTCCTTAGTACAAGTTTGTCTCAGCAGCTTTATGAACAGGTTTTAAGAGAAAACTCTTAGCTAAAAACTTTTACTGCCATTTAGGATAACTCTTAGTGGTAAGATAAAATGTTTTGTGAATACGGGCCCAGGTCTTTTTCCTCACAATTGCAGCTGAGCAACATCTTTCCAGCAGATGGCACTAATGTTCAATTGATTGTCACGTTTGCTGTAGACACGACCTTAGGTGCAATGAAATCATGGTATTAGGCACCATCTGAGCATGCATTTGTGATGGCTGATCTCTTCCATAGCACTTTATTATACAAATATTCTGTGCAGAATTCAGATGGGTGCTGCATGCAGAGCTAGAGCATCCATGCATCGTGTTCACACCATGATGAGCATCCTCTCCATTCCGTCTGAACAAATACTCAGTTCCTGCATCTTTGCTGGTATTATTGGATTTTCCAGGAAGTTAATATCTTGTAAAAAAAAAAACTCATTTATATCATGTTTATATTTTCTCTAGATGATATAGGCGCAGCACACAGCAATCTGTCATCGACAGCCTCGGCCTTCCTCCAGCAGTCCATTGAACATCATGGATTTCCACTGATGTATTTTAATAAACAACTAAACCATAAATATTTGCAGCTAAGTATTAACAGCTAAATATGAAAAATATGTATTCAATTAGAAGATTTAAAGTTTAAATTCAGAGAAAAACTGACGTGTGTGTGTGTGTGTGTGTGTGTGTGTGTGTGTGTGTGTGTGTTCATATTC